TACAGGTAAGATAAGTATCAGTTGGAATTTGAATTCTGGACTCCTGTGCCAAAGGTGGTGCTTTAAACACTATTTATTCCTTACATCTATCTGTTCTCTCTCTCTCTCTCTCTCTCTCTCTCTCTCTCTCTCTCTCTCTGTGTGTGTGTGTGTGTGTGTGTGTGTGTGTGTGTGTGTGTGTGCATGCGTGCATGCGAGATGCTTCAAAAGTGAAATGGAAGAAGTGATTTATGTTCACCAACTCTCTGCTGTTTAGTAAAGCATCCCATCTTCTTTTCAAGCTTCTCTGTGAACTTGGAAAAACTTATCTGGAGAGTGAGCCAGTCCCCAGTAATATTTATATCATCTTCTTATTCAAATACACTCATTTCCCCTACTTGCACTGTATGAAATGGGGCATTTGTGCAGTACTATTTTTAAGATAGATGCATTAAATTTTTCTATGTTCAAAGACAGCTCCTTTAGAAGAGGCTGCTGTAAACCAAATAAATGTATATTTTCATTTGCTGAACTACTACATATATGAAACTTATGCAAACTTTTAATTATGGTGCAATGCAGTATTGCAGGCTAACTTTGCCTATTGCCAGGAGTTTGATCCTGACCAACTCAAGGCTGACTCATCTTTCCAAGGTCAGTAAAATGAGGAGCCAAATTGCTGAGGGCAATATGCTGGTATAGTGCTGTAAAGCACTATGGAGCAGTATAAAAATCCAAGTGCTGTTGTTATTACATAAACATTTTATTTCCATAATTTATTGGAACTTTAACATTTTGATACTATGTACAAACTACTTCCCCTCCCTTACCCTGCATTGCTGTCTCATATCCCAACCATCCTATCTATCATATCTTTCTTAAGTTACCCAACCCATTTCATGGATATTAGGCCAGGAAACGATGAGCTGGAGAAGGATGTTCCCAGTGGAAATCACTACTTGGCTACCTTTTTGTGTCTCCATTCCTTTTCTTTTTTGTTCTTAATATATTTAAACTTGAGATCTTCCTGTAAAGAAACACAATACCAATAAAGTGTTTAAATTTTATTTCTCAGTTATTTAGCCTTTGGTGACCTAATTTCAAGAACTCCTTAATTTTATAATCCTTTCAAGATTTCATGAATCAATTTATATATTTTTACTTAGAATAATCTATTTAAAAACAAGTCATCGTATATTGTCAGTGCAGGACACATTATAACTGAATAATTGTTCCTTAATAAGAATAATGGTACCCTTATTAAATGGATAGTACCAAAGCATAGACATAGGTTTTCTTCAGAAGACCCAGCAATTCTGAATTACTGCATTTTTTTTTACTTCATCAGTAAGGCAGAAAGTATTAATTTTTGTTGGTAAAAGCAAAATGGAGAGATAAATTGTGGAGAGATATACATATATATATATACTTAGTGTAGTAATATGTATTTATGGTGCTAAATTAAACTTTTTTATACTTACCAAAGAATAAACTAGACTGTGCTTTAAGAAGTACTTCTAAAATATTTTAAACTTTTACTACTATGAATAGACAAAAGAGTAAACTGTTGTGAATGATCTGCTTGCAGAAAAAGCAAGAAAATTATATACTATTACTGTGACGGAAGTATGAAGGAAATTTTAGTTTGAATATGTAACATAGATTTATTTAAGAAAATGGACTATTGATATAGTGTGTAACCATAATTGATAAAATCTGTTTTTGAGATGAAAACTATTGTTTTTTTAATTTTTTAAAATTTTAAATTAAATAGCAACAGAAAAAGACAAAACAAATACAATTATGATGTAAATGCATATATTCTCAATGAAAATACAATGCATAAATATATTTAAAAGATAAAAAAACAAAGTATATAATTTTAACAGTTAACCCTTACAATTCAATTAACCCTTACAATTCTGTATATATATTTATCTAATGTAAATATTCAAGTGCATATATATTTATTTTTAATTCACTTATGTAACTAACATTCTTTTTCACCTACTGTATTTTGTATAAATGTCCCATATTTCATTATACTTGTCCATTCAAATTCCAAATCTTTAGGCTTCTAGTGGCAAGCATAATCAGGTTTTAATCATTTATCTTTCCAATGCTACAGTGTAAAACCTATGTAGTAGGTTCTCATGTTCAGTTCTTGGATGCACATCTCTTTCCCGGATGGAGAAAAAAATATCGTACACAATTTGCAAACTGTCACACAGTGGAAAGGGTAATCAGTGTTGCTAAGAAACTAGCAGCAGCTGGGAGTTAGAAAATGACAAATGGGAAAAGAAAAGAAGCTGGGAAAAGCAGAAACTTACAAGGTCAGCCACTTTAGGCTCAACTAATGCCAGTCGCAGGCCACTTTAATGGAAAGCAGAATGTTCAGAATTAATTAATTCCGATGACAACTGGGTAAATAAGGACATTTGTGCAATGCTTTTGAATACAAATCTCATTCATCAACTATAATTTTATCATTGCTACCTCCCCCTCCTATGCAAATATGATTACTAATCCTGCCACCTACACACACCCATATCCAACATGCTATTCTCTTTCACAATAAGCCACATATGTGAAGCACAGAAAATGAATAAGAAATAGTAAGGGCAAAATTAAAGAGATGAACAGAAGAAAAGGAATATAGCTGAACAGTTTGTATTGATTCCATTCACTATACCTCTCCATATCTTTCCACTTTTGTAAACCATCCATGCTTTCAAAAATCTACACAACCCTTCCCCTTTGCCCTTTAAAACTTACACCTGTCCTTTTGGGAGAGGGTCACATTGATCCATTCCAGCCATGATTTTCTTAGTCTTCCCCTTTCCTCTTATCCATTCATACTTCATATATTTATTGTGTGATTTGATCCTAATTCATTTTTTCTTATGCTTTTGTTTATTGATTTTTTTCCTACATTATGGTTGTCACCCAACATTACATAATGTAAACAGTTGTATAAATCTAATAAATTAATAACACTTTCATTCTGTTGCTCACTTTAGTATTCAATCCGCATTCCTTTAAATACCCATCATTTCTGATACTATTCTTTCTTGTCAATAGCACACACTTTTTAAAATAGTTATCCTCTTTGTTATGAGGATCAATGGCTATGACAGTCATGGAACCAAAAGTTTCTAGTCCTGTTTGGCTGCTTCTGATTAAATAGATGGCTTCCCTGTACAGTTGATTGGCCCCTGTGAGATTAGACTATTGGAATGCATAGACCAGGGGACCAATCTAGTGAGGCACTACTTATGTTCTTATGGTTCCCTGATATACGCAACACTTATTTCTATCTAACAAGGTAAGTAGAGGAAGCTCTTATACATGATCATATTTGGTTCTTTGGCCAAACATTCATTCTTTGCAACAAACAAGTTATTAATCACATTTTTTTTTGTCAGCATACACATGTCTTAAATGAAACTAGGAAGATTACACAGCCAAATTAATTCTCTACAGGTTAACATATACATTGGATTAACTCAAGTGCTAGAGGAGATAGTTGTCCAGGCAATGTGGGGAAAAAGGACTAGCAGGGAAAGGTAATTTGTAAATTGGCATTCAAACTAGTTAGCAAACAAAATCCATGAAATTTAAACATTTATTGAAGGATTTTATAAGTAACTTATTTAACTAGAGTAACTATATTGATTTTATTTGGAATTCTGGGAATGATTATTGCCTTCTCTTGTTTTCTCTACCTATCCTTTTCATATCTTTATAAAATATTTACATATTTAGAGATTTAGCTTGATAGTGTAAGGCAGCGGACTCCAACCTTTCCAATTTTGTGAACTGGTGGGTGGGAGTGGAGATGGTTCCTCATGAGCATCTGGAGAGCCTATGCATGCACACAGCTCCATTTGCACAAGCAGCAGGCATGTGTGCCCATTGCTCACACAAATGGAGCTGCATGTCCACGCCCTCCCACCACAGACTGGTAGTGGGCCACAGCCCAGAGGTTGGGGACCCATGGTATAAGGGTAATGGTTACAATAATGGATTAGCATTTGTGAGAACAAGATTCTAGCTTATCTTTAACCATAGAAACTCACCAGTGACTGGCGATCAGTCTCTCAGTCTTTCATTACAAACTACCATACATAGTTGTTGCAGAGAAAAATAGGAGGAGTTAATGTAGGCCTGGGCATTTTCACAGCCTTTAGGCCACATTTGGCCCTTTGGCTGTCCCTATCCAGCCGGTGTGAGGTCAATCAGAAATTAGAAATCAAATGTAAATGTATCATGTATTCTTATGAATAGCAGCTAATCAAAATCATAAAATTTTGCACAGCAACCCAAATTTCTCATATGGCCCTTTGAGAAAATTAATTGTCCACTGCTGAGCTAAGTTGATATCTACTTCCTAGAATTCCTAAGGAAAGCAAGCAAGAAAGAACATGGTTAAACAACCAGGTATGAATTGCCAAAATCCACTGAACATCAGCAATGAAATAATAATCGTAAAAAGAATTAAAATATTACCCAACTTACAGCAATTCTGGGCAGTGTAGAAATTGTTAAAAACATTTAAAAACAAGAAAACAGCACAAAATAAAAAGAACAAAAATGGTAGAGATAACAACACCTGGGAACAAAAAAAGAAGACAAAGAAGCTTCAAATAAAGAAAACTCCAAGTCCATCACTCTCTAGTTGCCAGAATTTTGCAGCCCAGAAATGGAAGCCCTAACTAAAGTAATAATAATATTGTCAATAAAATTTGTAAGCCTGATGCTTCCTTGTCTGCTTAATAAATTCATAATGCAGGATCACTGTGAATGACTTTGAATATAGTCCGTCTTATCCTAAATTACTCCTGAACTCCCCCTTACACAAATCAAAAATTAGTATTCACGTGGTTTTCCTTAAAAGTAATAAAAATATTGAAGAAAAGGAGGGGAATATTAAGTTTAAGCTTTTAAAATATATATGCATTAATTCTACATTAAAATCTTAATGAAATTATAAAATGCATAAATCCCAATGGAAAAATTCAAATGCTACAGCATGTAAAATTACTTTCCACCACAGACATTTCTAGCACTTCAAGACAATTCCTAATAGCCACAGAACAACCATTAGTCACTCAAAGCAATACAATCATGCTTCAGTTTTCTAACAGATATGAAAAAAGACAATACTTAAGCAATTTAAAATAAAAAATAAAAAAATTTCCACTAGGTAAGAATTCAATCTTTCATTTTAAAGGGTAAATGGCTTCAATAACAAGTGAGATTTGATGCATTGAAAGAAACAATGGCTACAATTCTAAACCATTTTCAAATATTTCTTCCTGGTATTCCTAACAGATACTTATTTAATTTTGAAATCCCTGCTTTTCATCCTCTAACTCCTTCTAAATATCCCCAGAACAGAAGGCAATGGCCCTTCCAATCCAAGCAATTAAAAAAGCAAATGTATTTTTGCATACATCATATTTTTCATGCAATATGATCCGTAATGAATGAAAGTTTTCTCAAGATCGAGAGTTTGACATTTCTTTGAGTAGTTTCATATGGGTCAAGGATTCTGCACAGCATAACAGCATAATGGTTGCCATGGTAGCAGCTTATCAGCCAATTTCTAATTGCTCATGACCCTGAGAAATGCCAGCTTGTGCTGGTATAGCTGCTATTTGGGGCTTGAATCCAGCAGAACACCTACTAAATGGAGAAGGGTGGTAGGAAGATATAATACCTCAAGTTGTGCTAACCAGGAACTTGGATTTCTACCCATTCTTGCTGGCTGCATACAGTGGCAGCTCTTGAAATATCTTGAAACATAATTTTGAGGAAGTTCTAAGAAGCAGTTTTAGGAGAAGCTGAAATTCAGGCAAGGTTAGAAAACCTTTCTCCGTAAACAGGATCCAAACCCTGTCTTATCTTGGTAGTATGTATCAGTACAATTTAGAGCAGTGAGCAATCTAAGGAGCGTTAGCAATATACTTTAGTATGTAATCTCAAATATATTTTTAAAAGGCCAACACAGACCTTTTACTGACT